TCATCCTAGTACCAAAAAGAAAAATGAAAATTGGGGAAAAGATGAATTATTTGTCTTTAAAATTTAAAGTTTGCTTGCTTTATAACAACATTCATATATATAAATATATATATAGGGTTAAGTGTAAGAAACTCCTGAATTATGAGAAAATCTGCAACTAACATCCTTAACTATTAAAAATGCAAGAAATCCCCTTAAATATGTAAAAAAGTTGCAGATCACTCCATCCAGTGACTTGCCGTCCAGAAATGAGCGCGTGAGAATTACGCGACAAACAAATTGAGTTTTTTGTACAATAATGCCCTTCCATATATGAAAAGACCAAATTGTCCTATAGCTACCACCACTGTCTGCGACCACCACCATAACCACCACCAACATAACCACCACGAAACCCCCTAAACTCATGCCAAAACACACCGTTAAACCAAATCAAACCCATCATCATCACTACCACCTTCATCGGCATCTCAACGGCACACCATAAAACCCAATCGAACCAGTACACAAACCCACTACCACCACCCCAATCCCGCCACCACCATTACCAACCACAGCCCAACCTTCTCTCTATCAAACCCATCACATATTGTGAAACCGAAACCCCACAAACCCACTGCCACCACCCCCTTCAAACACAATCTCTGGTTCTCCCCAGGGAATGAAGGCGGCGTGGAACTACTACTCGGTGGCGTCGGATTCTGATCTGATAGCGTTGCACCAGATATGGTATGTCTGTTCAAGTGGAAGCACTTGTGGAGGATGATTGCGGAGCAATTTAGGGTCGAATATGTGGACTTCGATGAAAACGAGAAGTAGGTGACCGTCCTGATTGGAACGAGGAGGTCGGAGGATGAGGCGAAGCTCGACCGCTATGCAGTTAAGCCGCAACCAGCCCATCACTGTTCAGCCCACCTTGCTCATCGATCTTCTCCACCATCCGGGCTCATCCCCTCTACCACCGCAAGAGACGATGGCAGGGCAGGCGCAGGAGACAACGACAGCGAGATTCCGGCAACGACGAGAATGATTTGGGTTTTAAGCAACCACCGAGTTACGACTCGCTCGGTAACTCGTCCCAACCCAGTGGATCTAACGCGTCGTCTCCGTCGCCTTATCTCCTCATCCTCTGCCGCCATAATCGCCGTCGCCACCATCTTTTTCCTTCATTTTCTTCACGATTCCTTCTCCAATTGCCGAAATCAACAGCATGCTTCTTTCTCTCTTTAGTCTCCAATCTTATATATATATTTCTAGTAACTGAATTTATATAGAGTATATAAACACACACATATATATAAACAGTAGTGAATAATCATAAAGGTAAATCAGACTTTTTACTTTTTCGGTTAAGTCAGTCTCTGAAAGGGACTGAAATGCAACAAATTCATAATTCAGGGATTTTTTTTGTAATTCGGGGAGTTAGTTGCAATTTGTCAATAATTCTGAGAGTTTTTTTTTTGCACTTAACCCATATATATATATATATATATATATGGGGTACAAATGAATCCGGCTTAATTCACTAATTCGTCAAAAAAATATCTGAAGTGTGTGTATGTCTGTGTAGAAATGTGCATATAAGGTTCAAACACATGTATGAAATAATCCATGCACTTCATAGATACAGTACTTATATACACACTGTTTATTTATATTTTACGTTTGCATGATCATCATATCATAGCTATATTTAATTGTCTGTATAACAAAAAATGGGAAAACTACAATTACATAGAGTTACGAGCTTTAAATAATAAAATGGTTTATTTTAAAAATTCATTTTTCACTTCAATTGAATTAAGTAAAATAATTACATATGTATCAATAACTATTGTTTAGGTCCAAAATGTTCTCCAAACACTCATTTCAAAATACTAAAAATTATTCCCCTAAAATCAAGTATTTTTTTTAAATAATTTCTTTACTTGAAAAATAAGATTTTTCCTTTAACTTTAAACCATATAGTTGCAACTTTCATATATACACACGAGAACTTATACGAATAATAAAAAAGATTGAATATAGTATGGGGCAATTAAAAGTTAGTCCCTAAAAAGAAAAATATAATTAAACTCAAGAATATATAATTCGTCTTTGCTGTGGTGCATGCCTTAAGATGATCATCAATTTTTTGGCTAAATTAATTACATTTGTTTTATAAATAAATAATAATAATAATTGCTGCATTTGTTGGAGTACCATTTAATGAAACAACCATTTAGTTTTTTCATGATTTCTCTCCACTGCGTGTGTACTGTATATATATATATATTCATAGGAATTTTTTTACATTTGCACGTTTATATTGGTATGAATTATGAGATACGGTTAAAATTATACATATATATATATATTTATATATATAGGATGAATTTCTACTTACCAAGATTTTTTTTTTTTATACGTAATGAATTTTCACTAATTTTTTTTGTATATTTCTGAATTGACATTTAGAGGTTTGAACCGATATAAATTAGAACATACCGTTAAAATCTTTTGCACAACTATATATATGTTGTTTATTTATTTTATTTATTTTGGTAATATATACACCATAGGCAAAAATGTCAAGTTGAAAGTCAACTCAAAAATCTTGTTTTTCTAAATTTTATGAATGAAAGATTTATTTGATTTAGGAAGGATGTTTTGAAATAAGAGTTTGGAGAGTTTTTTGGATATAAATAATAATTATTTATGCATATGTAATTATTTTACCTAACTTTACCAAATTGAAAAATTAACTTTAAAAATAGATTGATTTGTTATTTAAGACTCCTAAATCTATTTAAGCGTACTTTTCTCAAAAAAAAAATTTGGTAAATTAATTGTCTCAATAATTGAAGCTCATATTTGCAATGAGGTCAACTACTATGTTCTTTATTGGGGAGACATATTGAAGTTCATCCCATTAATAAGAAGAAGAAGAAATCTTTGTGTTAATTTAAAATTAAAATTATAAATTTAGACTTGCATTTTCGACAAAAATTCATGCGCGATACACTATTATGTGATTCATTCGTAAAATTATATATGTATCCAATAAAATATAGAGAGTATATAAAATAGTAATGTGCATATAAATAGGAAAAATAATCCTCTTCGTGTATTTTCAAGCCTCAATCCAATATAAAAACTATCCTATCTTACTGGAATTAAGTTGATTATAAAATCTTTACATGACTGGTAGTTTTATAATGATACCGTGACACATTTTTTTCTATCAAAGCCGTGCGATACATTTCTAAAGCATACATAAATTATATGGATAAAAATCCTTGATGACTTTCTTATATCTTTATAGGTGGTGAAATTGGCTGTATAATTAAATAGATAAAATAATGTGTTTAATAAAGTTCCAACATCTAACCTTCGTTTTTAAAAAAGATAACTCGTTCTAACTTGACCATTGCCTATTAAAAAATATATATATATTTTTTATTTCAACGATATTTTCAGTATGGAGAGGTTGAGCCGACTGAGGTTGAAAGTTCAGAGTTTGCCTTTAGGGAGAAAAAATAGGGCCCGTGTAGGTTTGCTTTAATAGCGGACCACGTGTACAATGCATGTGTTGGACTTTCCACTAACATAATACAAAAATGACTTTACATAAGCTCAATTTTTTTTTAATTAAATAATAATAATAATAATAATAATAATAGAAAAATAATAATAGATGTTCCTCCTTTACAACTTACACTTCCCTTGAATTTATTATAATAAATGAAAAAATTAATTATTACATTTTTTTTATTTAAAAAACATGAAGTCTGAATGTATTTTTTAAAAGTAATAATGTCATAGTTATTCATAATTACTTGGGAGGTTTAAAATTTTACTATCTTAGTTGAGACATATCCACTTAAAAACTTGATAGTCCATTTTAAAAGGCAATAAATATAATTAGGCTAGAGTATTTAGTTATATAAACAAATCATAATAATCAATAAGCTTATTATAGCTTGCAAACAAGAAAAAAAAAAAAAAAAAAAAAAAAAAAAAAACTAAGAAGGTTATCTTGTTAGAAAGAAATTGTTGAATGAGCTAGAGGTTCAATAGGATCAAATTCTCATTAAATTGTTAATTTTATTTGAAAATTTTTCGGTCTCGTGTAACTAAAATTTAGTTTTCCATCATTAATCACAATCTTGCATGATGTCATAATCCCATTGCAATAACTCTTGGTTTCTCTTAATTTATTAATTTTGGTATCACACCAATACACGTACTTATTTGTTTTTTTCTTGTTAGATAAATGCCCACACACAAACTATAAATGTTTAGTATAAAATTTAAACTCTTCACCACTCATGTCAATAAAAAGAAGTTATGCTAGCTAAGCTAATGCCGGATAGGTTATTAACTTTTTGCTTTGCCATAACGAATATTGCCTTATATGGTATAATTTAACTAAGAATATACTCTCGTATGCTTCTTCATGCAACAAAATAATGTTACTAATAACTCTTATCAAATAAGTATAATATATAACTAATATTTTTATTATTATTTTTCACTATAAGTCTCCTTGACCAAACTATAGAGCTAAGACCTAAAACTGCTATAAAAAAAAAAAGTGAACCAATAATACAAACTTATAGTTAATGCAAATTATACTTTTAAAAAACTTAATCATATCTGTATATATTTATTCTAATAGTTAATGCAAGGGATTCTTTCAAAAACTTATTAACGAATAAAAAATTTCAATTATAAAAAAAAAAAAATAGTTATTTGAGGGTCAAATCTAAAATAGTATACCTAATACGCTATTGATTTCCTGAGAAACCTAATTAAGCAAAATAAAAATAAAATAAATAAATCTTAATTAAGCAAAAATTGGGACCGACCAGAATATCCGAAAACTTGGATGACTAGTATGGTTAGTAGTTTCATTATGCTAAGACTAGTCGTATAATCCTATCGAGAGAGATGGTAATTAACGAATGTTATACTATTATACAATTGGGGCTTTATGGTCATAATAAATCATTTCGCGGTTCTATAAATATGGAACAATGTAAGGCTTTACTCGCCACCCGTCTAACCACTTAATTGTGTTCTCTCTCTCTCTGTCTCTATTGTCCATTCCTCAAACTTAGGAACTTCTCTAGTCTGAACGTATATGCACTAACCCCTCTCTCTCTCTATCTTTTTCTCTTTCTCTCTCTACACTAGTTTGAAAGAACAATACAGAGAAAATTCCATGCAAAATTTGATCGAAAACGAAGTTGATCGACTACCCATCAAAGAACTTCCAAGTTTTATCAGATTCAGGTGACTCTCTCTCTCTCTCTCTCTCTCTCTCACACACACACACACACACACACATATATATATATATGTGCGTGTGTGTATGCATATGAAGGAAATTGGTTTATAATTTTGGAGATAACTTGAAATAAATTTTAAAGATTTAATTATTCAACAGAATGAAATTTTGATGATTTTGGGGAGCCCAAATTGGCAGAGAAAGTGTGATTTCTGGTTTTTTGATCTCATTATGGTGAGAAAACGTGGCAGGGTTGGTAAATTTGATGGGAGGTGGATGGGTATTCTTGTAATTTGAGGAAGCCGCATGCAATTTCAGGAGTTGTTTCGGGTGACTTCGTGGAAATGTGAAGCCACGTAGCTGCTGGTTTTGAATTGAATTTTTGTTGAATGACATAAATGCCTACGCCTTCTGCGCAATTTTTCAAATTTTTTTTTTCATATTGGGGCCCCACAAGTGGAATTTTCCTATTTTTGGGCACGCTCATGGAAATTACCTGCAGTGCCTGGTTGATCATGAAATACAATCACAGGCCTAATTCTCTCTCTCTCTCTCTCTAACACACACACACACACACAACACACACACGACTTGAGGTATGAATGGCAGAGTTGATATATATGATATATTAATATATGTATATATAAATATTATAGTTGGATTAGAAATTGGCTTACTGTTAAATTATAGATTGTGGTAAGGAAGTTCTCCGGTTACCTGTATTGATAGGTCAGAGGACCACCCTGATTATGCATTTACATTTAAATAAGGAGATTCAGATTTCATAAGCAGGACAGCACATCTTTTTGATACAGAAAACCCCACTTTTCAGCTATATATCATTTGACCTTTTTATTTTATTATTATTTAAACTAACAGCTTTCACAATCCAGATCTTCTTCCTTTATTTTTGCTATCTTCTGGTTAATTTGATTAGGAGACACCAAATTTCTTGGAAATCTCAGTCATAACACTCACAATAAGAATTATAATAGTTCTCCAAAAATATATTGAAGTTGAAAAAGATTTGGTAACATGTTTGTTTGTAACTCATATATAATAAAGATAAATACTTTATAATATGGGCTTTTAATGTTGGAGCAAAGTGTTGCAAGTTGCTAGTCAATAAGCAGAAACATTAGAGCTAAAAGAGTCGATCTTTTTTAGTGCATAGGGCTTGGAATTTCTTGTCTGATTGGGATATGTTGATCACATAATGCAGGAGTTGAAGTGAGAATTTGCAGTTTCTGCTTTCTTGGGATTGTTCTGGTTTAAAATGGCGTCGAATACGACGGTGACATGTCCATCACCCATGAAGGCAACATCTAATGGAGCCTTCCAAGGGGACAATCCTCTTGATTTTTCACTTCCTCTAGCAATTTTACAGATATGTCTTGTAGTTGTTGTCACGCGAGCTCTTGCATTTCTTCTGAAGCCATTAAGACAGCCTCGTGTGATAGCGGAGATTGTTGTAAGTTCTTAAGTCCTCTTCGTTTCTTATAATTCGAGTGCAGTTTCGCTTTGCTTTGTTACGATGATTTTTAGACTATATTATGGTTGCCACAATGCATTGGAATCCATCTATGTAATATGTTGTATGCATCTGCATTATTCCTTCGATATAACTGCAAGCAAAGAGATTTTTCACTAGGATTGCCCCTAATTATTATTATTATTATTTTTTGGTGGGTTAATTGTCTCTGTTTCATTCTAAGTTGTTGTCAAATTTTGATTTTTTTTTTTGCTTAAACAAACCTAACAACTTTGACACACAATGTTTGTCTATCAATATTAAACATCAGGTCTTTTCAATTAGGCCTTTTCAAATAGAGGAGCCAACCACCAAACTAGAAAAAAATAACACAGTTCAAAACGATTCAAGAAGATCCTAGGACTAGATTTGTTTCAAGGCAGGTTTAGACTGGTGAAATTTTGAACTCATAAAAAATATATCACAGGAGACAATATATTCTTTATAGTACCATATAAAAACAACAATTGTATATTATTACTTCTATGAACTTCCAAAAGACTTGGAAACTCAATATCTTTTTGTTTGAAATTTAAATCTCGGTAATTTACAAGTTACGAAACAGTGATTGTACCATTCTTTAAATTTTTATTTTTATGAGAATACATGGACTTCCTCAGCTCCAAGCTTAGAAGCGACAACCTCAACCAATGTATGTTTTCTTTCAAATGAGTGAAATACAAATATATAATTGTTTTCCTTGCATTTGTAGATGCTAGATAAAAAATACTATGTAGCTTAGCTGGTAATGACTAATTTTTTTTTTTCAACTGGTAATGACTAATGAGTGTTCCTACATGTTAGTACCTCAAACACACTTTGTATACCACTTGCCAAGCACAGATGATCTGAATTTGAAGTATCACGAAGAATATAATTATTATTATTATTTTTTTTCAGTATGTAAGAATATAATTTCTGTTGCTCTTTTTGGCAGGGAGGGGTTTTACTTGGCCCATCAGCTCTAGGTCGAAATGAAAAGTTTCTGAATGCAGTTTTTCCAAAGAGGAGCCTCACAGTATTGGATACTTTAGCCAATCTTGGTCTCCTGTTCTTTCTGTTTCTTGTAGGCCTCGAGTTGGATCCACGGTCCCTTCGTCGGACTGGAAAGAAAGCTATGAGCATTGCCCTTGCAGGCATTAGCGTACCTTTTGCATTAGGAATTGGTACATCTTTTGTCCTTCGAGGATCAATTTCTAAAGGTGCAGATAAAGCCCCCTTTCTTGTATTTATGGGGGTGGCTCTTTCTATCACTGCCTTCCCTGTCTTGGCTCGTATCTTGGCTGAACTCAAGCTATTAACCACTGACGTTGGTCGAATGGCCATGTCCGCTGCAGCAGTCAATGACGTGGCTGCGTGGATTCTACTTGCTCTTGCCATTTCCCTCTCTGGCACCGGCCGTTCTCCCCTCATTTCATTATGGGTGTTCCTGTGTGGCACTGCTTTTGTCATTGGTTGCATACTCGTTCTCCCACCTATCTTCAGATGGATGCAACAGCGTTGTCCTGAGGGTGAGCCAGTAGACGAAATGTATATATGTGCTACTTTAGTTATTGTTTTGGCTGCGGGTTTCGCCACTGACTCTATTGGAATTCATGCCCTCTTTGGGGCTTTTGTGGTTGGAGTTGTTGTCCCAAAGGAAGGGCCTTTTGCGGGCGTACTTGTGGAAAAAGTAGAGGATCTGGTATCTAGCCTGTTCCTTCCATTGTACTTCGTTTCAAGCGGATTAAAAACTAATTTACTCACCATTAAGGGGCTTCAGTCTTGGGGTCTTCTTGTTTTGGTTATATGTACTGCCTGTACTGGGAAAATTATAGGTACTATTGCGGTCTCGCTTTGGTGCAAAGTGCCTTTTAGAGAGGCTGTTGCTCTGGGGTTTTTAATGAACACTAAAGGCTTGGTGGAGCTTATTGTCCTCAATATTGGGAAAGACAGAGGGGTGAGATCTTCTTTTCGCAATTAACAATTAGACACTGATCATGCTTGATTACTAGTCTTATTTTATTTGACTCGTGTGTGTGTGTTTGCATATTTACTAATTTAAGTGATTGATCTTGCAGGTATTGAATGATCAAACATTTGCCATTATGGTTATGATGGCTCTCTTCACAACCTTTATCACGACGCCTCTAGTCATAGCAGTATATAAACCAGCTAAAAGGGTGGGCGATCCTAAATACAAGCACAGAACAATTCAGAGGAAAGATCCAAGTTCTCAGCTCCGAATGCTGGTATGTTTCCAGAGCAACAGGAACATCTCCTCTCTGATTAATCTCATTGAGGCTTCTCGTGGGACCGAGAAGAAAGGACTTTGCATCTATGCAATGCACCTTATGGAGCTGACTGAAAGGTCATCCGCTATACTCATGGTCCACAAGGCAAGAAGGAATGGACTGCCCTTTTGGAACAAGGGAATACATTCTGATGCCAACCAAGTAGTTGTTGCTTTTGAAACTTTCGAGCAGCTGAGCCGAGTGTCCATTCGTCCAATGACAGCAATCTCACCCATGTCTAACATCCACGAGGACATCTGCGGAAGTGCAGAGACGAAACAGGCTGCAATGATAATCGTCCCATTTCACAAACATCAGAGGCTGGACGGACAACTGGAGACAACTAGAATGGAATTCCGGTATGTCAACAAGAGAGTTCTTAAGTACGCACCGTGTTCAGTTGGGATCTTAGTTGACCGTGGCCTTGGTGGATCCACTCATGTGTCCGCAAGCAATGTTGACTCTGTGATAACAGTCCTATTCTTTGGGGGCCGCGATGATCAAGAAGCTCTTTCTTATGGTATGCGCATGGCTGAACATCCTGGTATCAATTTAAGAGTCGTTCGTTTCATGGTAGGCCCCAAATTTGTTGTTGAGAGTATTACGCTTGACATGGAGAGCTATGGTCCTGAAGCAAGGGCAATGGATGAAGATTTCATCTCCGAATCCAAGGAGACAATGTCGAAGAACAACTCAATCAAGTATGAAGAGAGAAATGTAAGTAGTGCTACAGAGACAATTGAAGTGATTAAAGAATATAATCGTTGCAATTTGTTTTTGGTTGGAAGAATGCCGGAGGGTCAGTTAGCTGCAGCTTTGAATGGAAGGAGCGAGTGTCCGGAATTAGGACCATTAGGCAGCTTCTTGAGCTCACTAGATTTCTCAACAGCAGCATCAGTTTTGGTGGTGCAACAGTATCACAGCCAGTTATCTGAGCATTCATTGGCTACACTGAAAAGTGACTCTTCAGAGAGAGAGTATGAATCTGAGTGATTGGCTTTCATCTTTTAGGATTTGATCTCTGCTTGTACAGTGTTATGTAAGAAAGTGAAATAAAACAAATACTAGGAGAAGTTATGTTACAGTGATTTCTTTAGATATACAAAAGTACCCGTGCCAAACACACAATACTTGGGTACGTATTACATGGCACGAAATATGTGCTAGGCATGTCTTGTGGGGCATTTCCTTGCCAAGGATATTAGGAAATTCAAGTCTGCTGTATAATTGTACATAAAACTCAAGTCTTATTGCTTTTGTAATATCATTGCTTCGATAGGAACTGAAGTTTCCATGTTAAATGTTGTAGGTTACACAGAGACACCATTTATTGAAAAGATGACTATTTGCCTATATCTTTGTGTCCTTTGAGCTTGGGGTGTGATATTAAAAAAAATTATTGATCAAGTAACATAGAGTAATACAATAATTACTGATCAAGCAACACAGTTTAAATTAATCAAGTTCTCACAACATGAGTTTATGAATTCCTTACCTGGATATGATTTTCATTTTTTTTTTTTGTTGTAAACATAAAGAAAAAGTGGCCAAAATAAGGAATATGTCAAAGTGGCACAGACTCATGAACTGATTGAAAATTTTCTTCCAATCCTAAATCTAAGCCACCGATTTGGTGCTCCCAGACATAGCAATAAAAAATTTCTGTTTTTTTTTGTCCTTGCAAATAACATGCTCACTCGTTTTGCCCTTATAGGAGTCGAACCCTAATCCAAATGTTGTTTTCTCTACCAAGGCCATATTGTGAGTGTGTGGTGTCGGCGTTTGTAACAACTAATTTTTTTTTTTTTTGGTAGATTATTTTGCCCTTACAGGGGCCAAATGTTGTTTTCTATTCTCCCCAAATGGAGAGGTTGAGTGTTTAAGCCCTACCACGGACCATATTGTGAGTGTGTTGTGTGGGCGTTTGTTTGAATTTTCATGAGAAAAAAAACCCCTAACCTTTCAAACATCCAATTATGTAACAAAATGTTCATTTTCTTTCTTTTTATCATTGGTGGCCCTAATTTTTAAATATGAGAAAAGGATCATATTAATTTGCACCAATTGACTAAAATCAGACTCAAAATTGATGTTTTCATGCTGGACAAATTGAAAATTTTCCAACATTCCACAAAGCGAGTGATTGCATTAATCATAGCGATTCAATATCATAATCTGACTTTTCCAGTAATTTTCTACTAATGATAATTTGTTGCCTCTCCAATACTGACACGGCTAATTGTTGCATTCAACAATCTTCTGGTCTCTCTATTGAAGCGTAATTAACTTCGTATTTGGACCAGTCTTCAGAGAAAAATAGTCACCAAATTTACAATATTTTCGTGGATGCTCATCTCTTCATGTGACTAAAGCTTTTATCCAAATCGTCATTGAATACATACATGGGATTAAGAAAATGTAATTATTATTTTTTATAATAAAAGTGACAATTAATTATTACATGGCATAAAATAATACATTGAATGTATCAAAATTTCAAAAGATTTGTCTACTTATATAGAACAGCTCAATTGTGGTCAGTCACGTTAGGTTCGCTTTTTCTAATGTCATTATGAAATTAAATCTTGAACGTCATGGCTGAGAGGCAGATGGCACAGTTCAAAAGAATCTTGATTTTGAGATATTTCACATGTAAATGGCGATTTAAATATGCGTTGATTTGTCAATCATAGTTGACCTTAACGAGTCCTTCTCTCCCCAGATAACTATTTTTCCATCTACTAATTTATTGTATCTTTTTAATAATTGTGTGTGATATAATAATAATCATGATTTTATGCATGTAAATTGTCATAATTGCTACCATTCAACCGTAAGTAAAATATGTGAATTGGATAAATAAAGTTCAACAAATATTCTTTTATTAGTAAGGATAAGTAAGATATATAATTCTAATAAGCTGAGTTCAACAAATATTCTTTTATTAGTAAAGATAAGAATGGACTCCTTTGTATTTATGCGTTTTTACTCCCCTCATATATGGAAAGAAGCATGTGCGATGCACTTGAATAAAAAAAGGATGAAAGTTAGAAGAGGGTTTTTAGAAATTTTGCATCCTTAGTTAAGGTCCAGTTGAATTTGTAACCCCCTCTGATAATTGAGGGGGGTTTTTTAAAATAAAAATAACCCCCTCTGATAATTGAGGGGGGTTTTTTGAAATAAAAATAGTCAAGGGTTTAATGGAAAAGGGTCAAAGGGGTTTTTTTGGACTTTGCCTTTTTAATAATTGTGTGTTTTTATATATATGTGTCTTTTTCTCACTACAAATTAAGTCTAATCTGTTTATATTTTTTTTATAATTATTATTTTTTAATTATATAATTAATGTATTGAAATACTATTTGTAATTTTAAATATTAATATATATATATATATATATATATATATATATATATATATTTGTTTATTTTGGTGTCGATAATTAGAGTTGATTGGCATTATAAGATTCTCTTGAATTTTTTTTTTTTTTTTACGTCATTCGTGTTGATCTTGAGCACGCTACTTCATTTTGCATGGCTCAGGCGAAGCTAAGATTGTAGGAGTACCAATTTTTAATATATGCGTGTGAAATGTATTGTGTGTACGCTCGTGTGTTTCGATCAACTGTCCAGTTGACAATCAAGTAATGAAATGTATAGCAAATTAGTCTACTTTGAAAAATCAATCATGCACATGGTGATAATTTTAATGACTACTTTCTTTGTCATTGCATAAAAAATTGTACCCTCTTACCGTCATAAACAAAGAAAATATTATAATATTTTTTTAAAATATCTCACTCTTTCTTGTTCAAGAGGTTAAAACAATAGTTAAATTATAATTATAATAAGCCTCAAATTTAATGGTTAACAATTTTTAGTGATTAATAAAATTATAAAAAGTGTATATATATGCGTCGTTTTTTTTTTTGGGGCATTGTAGTTGGTAACCTAGTATTATAGTAAGCTGACTTTATAACTCAATGCGTGAACGTAAACAATTGTTGAAGAATATGCTCTCCATTGCATCATTACCCACAAAGGGAAAGCTAATCATAGGCCGAAAAAATAAGTTCGAGTACGTACCCATTCATGAATAATTCAACAAATCTATATTTAAGGAAAAGCAAGTCCATTGTACTTTCCCCAAAAAAAAAAAAAAAAAAAACACACACACAAAAGAAAAGAACACCCATGTCACTTGAATACTTGATACAAGTCTAACCTGGTGGTGAATTTGACTGTGATCCCATCCAAATTCATTAGCTGATGTGTCTCTGATTGTACAATTGGAAGTTTTTTTTATTTTATTTTATTTTTAATAAAATAAGTAATAAATAATTCATCTGTCAATGTCAGGGTAAATTTTGTTGACAAATAGCTACGCGGTGGAACAATTGTTCGCTCCATTTAGAATACAAAAATATTATTTTACCTTTTAATTTTTTATATATAAAATTATCCTTGTTTGTGGAAGAATGAATATTAATGTTATTTGGTATATTGTGCAAATTTTGGAAGAATGTTTATTTGGTTTATATTTCTAATTATGAGTTTTCAAATTTTGAGTTAAAAATAAAAAATAAAAATAAAAATAAATTAAAAAAAAAGGAGTTGAAATTTAAACGAAAAACTTAAATGGGTGTGGAAGCTAGTGTTTGGAGAGACGGCATGAATATTAAATTTTGTTATCCTTCAAAAAAAAAAAAAAATGGGAGGAAAGAAAAAAAAAATACTGCATTTTTAATACCAAATTTCCCTTATTTTTATTAAAACAAAAAAAAAAAAACAAAAAACAAAAAACAAAATTTATACAAAAAGATATTACTGTAAATTCATTAAAATAATTTTTTTTTTCATTAATCAAAACATAGCTTATATAATTTGAATTAACTTGAATAATGATCTATTCCATAATTTTATTTTTTAAAAAAAAAAAAATTTAAATTAGTAGATGTAGATAGTTGAAATCGGGCACTTCAAAATCTACCAGAGGCATTGAGACATCTGCGATGATCTATTTTATTTGCTTACTAAACTTCGATCACAACTTCTATAAATTTTGTATCCCTCCATATCCTTTCTTTTTCTTTCAAAATTTTATACCAAACATAATATACCATTTCTCTGCATTACCGTTCTTCCCTTTTCTTTTCCTTCCACTTCCGTCCGACCAAGTAGAACTGGGAGTGTTTTGAGTTTTAAGTCATTGGGCCTATCAAGTTTTAAGTCAACAATTGCTACTTTCAATTTAATATTTGATCCAACTTTGTCAACTCATTTTACAAGTATTGATTTGGGCCTTATAATCCAATTGCTTTATTCATGTATATTAATATGTTAGATTAAGAAAAGATCCAATACGTTATGTTGGAATTGGTTTTTCTTCCTTTTAAAAATGAATTCTCATTGTCATTTATAACTATAAAGTATAATGCTAATGGAATGAAATGCAAGTGGGAATTGAATGAGAATGGAAATGAAATAGAATAGTCATTCTCATTCTATTGTTTGGTTGTTAAATATGAAATGTGTAGGAATTGAATGATAATAATCATTCTAGTATTTGATTGGACCAATTTTAAATTTAAAATATAATAAATTTCTAATTGAATTCTCCAAAACATCCCTCTTAGTAACAAATATATTAAATTAAATTAACTAAATGATATTCTCTAATAATTTTTTAAAATTAAATGGTGGCAGTGGCGGTGGTGGATGGTGGAAAATGGTAGTAGTGTAGGTGGTGGTGTGGGAAGGCGGAGGTGGTGGCAATGGTGAAAATTGGTGGCAGCAGTGGTGGTGGAAGGTGGCAGTGGTGTTGGTGGAAGGCAGTGGCAGTAGTGTGGTGGTTGTGGTGGAAGGAGATAGTGGTGTGACTATGGTGGTAGTGGAAGGCAGTGGAAGTGGCGGTGGTGGTGGAAGGTGATGACGATGGTGGTGGTGGTGAAATGTGGTGGTGATGGAAGGTGGTAGAAGGCGATGGCGGCATTGCTGGTGGTTGTAGAAGGCGGCGGTGGTGGTGAAAGGTGGCTGTGATGGTGGTGAAAGGTGGCTGTGATGGTGGTGGAAGGCAGCGGTGGTGGTGGTGGGCTGTGGCGGTGGTGGAAGGTGGTGGTGGTAGTGAAAGGTGATAGCAGCGGTGGTGGCAGTAGTGAAAGACGATGGCGGCGGTGGTGGTGGAAGGTGGTGAAAGGCAATGGCAATGATGGTGGCGATAACGGTGGTGAAAGGCAGCAGTGGTGAAAGGCGGCGGCGGTGGT